GTTTTATTTGAGAAAGGACTTGTATCGCTGAAGTTCTTCGGAAAGAATTTTTACGAGTAATTAACAAACGACAGAGACGTAACAATACTCTTCAAACAAATTCACCAAACTTCCCATTTTGCGACCTTGAATGTTAAGTGCAGCTTTACCTGTGAATACAACAATACTCGTTACTTGTGTAGCAATCAGTGTCGTCACGCGTATAGAGTAAAAGTGTGACCTGAAGTGTAGTATGGCCTACGAAAAAGTTATTTCAATTGTTGTGGTTCTCTTTGTACTTTTTTTTTTTTTGTTCTTTAAAATTATTATATTTTTAAACCACTTCAGCAGTTAAAAGCGTAATTATCCGCTTGGTTTATTAGAGACAATGGTGACGTATTAAATCATTTGTAAAGAGATAAACATTATGCTTCTGTTGTTGTTTTAGCGAAAAAGTTACACAATGGTCATCCATCTCCACTCTGTCCACTACAGAGAATCGAAGCCCAAAGTTTGCCATTGTAAGTCATAATACACTGGGGAAAAAACAGGTATTTTACAAGTTCCCCAATGGGGCAAATTCTAAAATACAGGGTTCGATTCGCTGCAGTGGACAAGAACGCAGATAGCCCATTGCGGTGTTTTCCGCTAATTAAAAATACACATACACACACACACCAACAACAATATTATGCAACTATATTATTATTTTCATAACTTGAGCAAATGGGTGCTAATAATTATTATTGATATCAAATTAAAAATATATAATATTCAAAATGAAGCAAATCTATATTTAAAGAACAGTATTCGAGTTAATCATCACGCTTGAAAATACATTGGATTATTATACTCTTACACTGATAATTCGTTGCGTACACTATTTTATATTTAAATATGAAAACTGCAGACGTTAAAAACTATTGTAAGATGAACATTATTTGGTTGAGAGAATTAACTGAAAACTGTCCTTTTTATATTTCAGGTGCACACTATTTCTTACATTCTTAACTTCCAAAATCCATTTACATGTTTGACCTTTCTGGAGGTTCATACAGTTATAACACACGAGCAGGTGTATTTCCTTCGATATTGATCAGCGATCACTAGGGTTCCTGTCTCGAAGTTGAAGCGCAAGTTTGGGGAGCTGTGCCGTCAATATCAGGATATAAAGAGGAACACACACGCATTTGATTGATTCTCTTTCAGAATTTTCGGATAGGACGATCAAGATCTGCAAGTTAAAATGTCTGCCAAGGCCATTTGTGAAGCTACAGGGAAAGATCTGCTGAACAGATTCCTAAACAGTGGGGGAAGTGCTGTGAAGTGCCAATTCGCTACTGTTAATGAAGACACAGAATGGAAAGCCCTTGTTGCAAATAACTCGTGGTTGAAATCAGAGGTAAGAAACAGATACTAACTACCGTTTAATTGCTTTTAATATAATACAGTCTAATGTTGCAACCTGTGTACAAAAATATTTAATTGAGTATCTAACGGCTTTTAATAAATCTTGAAAAAAAAGAGCATAGTTCCCTTTTCTATTTAAAACGTAATTGGATTTATTAATTACAGTTTAAAACCACTTATTATGAGTCTAGTGTAGTGTGAATCACTGCCATCTGTGTAAGATTAAAAGAAGTAGATATTATTACGTGTCATTATTATGTAACACGTGAAATTCAAGGTTCGAAATTACCTGTCAATTTGTATTTCTTTTAACTTCAGTATTTGAGGAAATGTTAGTAATCGGGCTATTTGAAGAGAAAAAAAATAGTAATGAATATAGGTTTCTATTAATAGAAATTAATCTTTTTTTTTATAATGATTAATTAATTTCATTTTTTTTTCTTGAACAGTCCAGATTACACATTTTAGAAAATTTGCTTTTTAACAGTTTTGCAAATTAAAAAAATATATATGCATTGAGAACAGTTGAACATTTATATAACTGTTTAATCCGAAGGTAATGCATTGAGAACAGTTGAACATTTATATAACTGTTTAATCCGAAGGTAATGCATTGAGAACAGTTGAACATTTATATAACTGTTTAATCCGAAGGTAATGCATTGAGAACAGTTGAACATTTATATAACTGTTTAATCCGAAGGTATAAAAATAAATATTTTATTTCATAAGGTTTAATATGGGTAGCGAAATTAATATTTAAAAGTAAACTTGATAAATCGGATAAACAGAGTAAAATTGAACTAGTTGATGTACCTGATGATGCCAGATTAACCTGGGGAAACGTTGTACTTTCATTAAATTTTACTCTGTTTATCCGATTTATCAAGTTTACTTTGAATTACGACAGAGAACTTCCTTTCATCGTAGAAATTAATAATTGATTCTATAATTCACTTGTGACCAGGAACGGTGCTATCATTGTTGAGCAAAGGGGATACTTGCCCTCCTAGCTCCCAAATTCTAGTCAAAATCACAGAAAACGAACATTGTTAAGCCACTACTAGAACCGCCTCTGTTTGTAATGCACCTCAAAAATAATAATAATAACATGGAGTATTAGGCTGTAAGTTACATAAGTGGCTTGTTCGTTTTATTGTTTTCATTCTCATCTGATTTGATACTCCAATAGGTCAACGTTTAGTTTACGGGCCTAAGACGCTAAGTCCGGGATTCGATTTTCCTCAGTAAACGAGCACAGCTAGTCTGTTGTGTAGCCTTACGATAAAAAGAACAGCAGTGATTTGATTTGACATTTTCTTGTTGAACGGTGTTTGGCATTTTATCGTAGTAACTGTATTTATCAGTGAAAATAAGTTACCTACATAAATGGTCACGAGAACTAGGGTGCTGCAGGTGCAGAAGAAACCCCTGGTTTGACGTAGGGGAGGTACTGGGCTTGCACGGTGCCTATCATATATGGGGTTTTCGATTTTGTTAAATGGTTTTCAGTACCCCCGCTATAAACATTCTCCCAGCTGCAGTGCCTACATAGGTCAGAACCAAAAATTAAACAAGTGAAGAATACAGTTATGCATTGATTCTTTTACTATATACAACCTTATTTTGTTTAAATTGTAAAATGGGTTATTAATTATATTGCTTATATCGTTAACAGTGTTTGGTGTTGTGTAACACACACCACTTTAAAATGTGTAATAAAACATTCGTATAATAGATGTGCTAGGCGTGGCCCAGTGATTACCACATGGGACTGTAGATCGAAGGTGCTAGGACAGTATTTCTCAGCCGGATTTGCCAGACGACCCTCACATCCGGGCTTTAGTCGTCGCGACCCCCCATGATATGTGCACCTCTCAGACACCTCGACTAAAAGAAATATTGATTCAGTGCAAACAGCTCGTGACCTGGAAACACTGGTCTAGGATTTGTTACAGAAGTGACAGTCAAGTCGGTATGAAGAAACGGGCGAAGCCCTTGTGGCAGTGGGTAGCATGGGTTGGTATCTAGTTCAAAATTGGGGACGCCTATGCTAGGGGTTTCTGATCCGGTTGTTTGGCCAAAGTGCGTATAATGTACAGTTCCGGTTGAAAAGTCCATTTCCGTATTCTCGTTCGCAACATGACTTTAATGATATAGAGTAAAACTAAATCATTCGTGTTTACATATCAGTCTAGAACTAGAATAGAAAATTATTTTAACACTTAGCTTTGCTAGCTGTAACCAGGACTGATTTTTAAAAAAAGGCTTTTGCTTACCTTCTGTATAGCGATTAGTCGTTAAGCCAGACCAGCTGATCAAGAGGCGCGGTAAACTTGGTCTTATCCACGTGAACTCTGACCTTGACAATGTGCGTAAATGGGTGGACGAACGAAGAGGGAAAGATGTGCAGGTGAGTGAAAACATCATGAGAGAAGAAGTTATATGATTAAGTATTTAGTGTTAAAGGAACAGTTTTTCTATATAATTATGTACTTAGTGTTAAGGCCCGGCATGGCCAGGTGGTTAGGGAGCTCGACTCGCAATTTGAGGGTCGCGGGTTC